CGTTTGGGAAGATCCAGGGAGTTAAAAGGCTAGCTAAATAGTTCCACAACCCCAAATTACGACTTTGTTCTCTTGTCCTTAGATCCGGGAGACCAGGCGGACGGTGCGAGACTCTGACAGCGGTCTGGAGCAGATGTCTATCGGACACCACATCCGGGAACGTGCGCACATCATGCAGCGCTCACGCAATCACCGCACGGGTGACCAAGAGGAGAGGCAAGACTACATCAACCTGGATGAGAGTGAGTGTTTCCCTCTGGCTCCTCCCCTTCCTCGTGACGGTCTGCTCAGCCTCCCCCTCCCACTCAGTGGCCTCCTCTCCCCCCCTTCCCATTTTCAGTACGTTTTGAATTGTGCTCCCAGTACGTTTCCGAGCACAATTCAAAGTGTTGGTGCTGACCTTTAAAGCCCTAAACGGCCTCGGCCCAGTAGACTTGAAGGAGTGTCTCCACCCCCATCGTTCTGCCCGGACACTGAGGTCTAGCTCAGAGGGCCTTCTGGCGGTTCCCTCACTGCGAGAAGCCAAGTTACAGGGGCCTTCTCGGTAGTGGCGCCCTCCCTGTGGAACGCCCTCCCACCAGATGTCAAAGAGAACAACTACCAGACTTTTAGAAGACATCTGAAGGCAGCCCTGTTTAGGCAAGCTTTTAATGTTTGATGTATTACAGTATTTTAATATTTTTTTGGAAGCCGCCCAGAGTGGTTGGGGAAGCCCAGCCAGATGGGCAGGGTATAAATAATAAATTATTATTATTATTACTATTATTTCAGGTGATGCCGCTGCGTTTGACGACGAATGGAGGCGAGAAACATCCCGCTTCCGGACGCAAAGAGGGCTGGAATACAGGCGCCACGAGGGAAGCAATGGCCGCCGGGCCGAAGGGGCCCGCCTTGCTATTCAGGGACCTGAAGATTCTCCAACCAGACAGTCGCGCCGGTACGACTGGTGAACCCAGAGCAGACTTAAGGGGGGTGTGATGCGGTCACCCCCAAATCTACCTTCATGCTCTTGTAAGTCTTAACTGTTGCCCTTCGCATGCATGCTGTGCCCCAGGGTATGCCTGCCCAGCTTCTCAGTTGGGGTACAACCTGGCGAACCTGACTACTTTTTCAGTGCAGCATTGGGCCTGTGACTTACCTTTGTGCCCAGCAGTGATCACCTTTATTTTTTTTAGTATTTTTTAAAACACACACACACATACTGGCATATACAGGAAAACAGCATGCACATGTTCCTGGCTAGGCCTTAAAGTTGGTGATATTTACAGAGCATGTTAAGGTGCGCCACAAGTAGGGCATAGGAGGGAGTCATGGATAAGAAGAAACCTGAGCTTTCTGGAAGGAGGGTTGTTGCTCTTCCATGTGTCAGAAGCAGAGGCTTCTGGGAATTATAGAGAATGAGGAGTGGTTGACGGGGGATTATTTTGATAAAATCTAATAAAACGCTTTGAAACAAAGCAGGGTATATGATTCATCTGGTGGCTCCTGGTGCAATTCTGTTTCTGAAAAGAAGCCTGATAGAGCTTTGTCCTTACCTTTATGGGAGGCCATCAGGGAGCGCTATGCATGCTACCCTGAGTCTTGAGCAAAGGCAGTTTGCAGGGCGGAAAGTTAGTCCAAGGCCTTTTGCAGCCCTGGAAGTGGGTCCCAGAGGTTCCATGCTTTTTCCAGTCAGGATCCCATTGTGGAGAGAATCAACAGCTAATGCTTGCGCTTCCACTGAGCACCCACAAGAATCGAGTATTGCACCATCTTTTCAAAAATAATCTCTTATTCTGCTGGGCTGTTCATCTTTCCAAAGGCAAACTTGGCTGCAGCCACGATTGTTGATAACATAAGGGAGGGAGGAATCTAAGGGCACCGTCACATCATCAGATTGCAGCCACACTTAGAAATAAATCCAAACCTGTTTCAATGAGGTTTATTTCAAAGTGAATAAATTTATTGCCTTGGTTTGAAATGGGGCAACTGCCATCACTTCTCTTCCGGAAGCTTTGGAATGATTGCTTTTAGAGGCTTTTTAGGCTTGTTTTGCAAAGAGAATTCCCTTCTCACACAAGCACAGTTGAGAGCAAGGGAGGCTGTAGTATGGAAATGTTGTAAGTTAGGGTTGGAGGGAAAGCAGATGTTGTTAAAGACTCCAGCTCCCATTATCCCTGATCACTGGCCATGCTGGCTGGGGATGATGGGAGTTGAGAGGTCCAGAAACATCTGGAGGACCACAAAATAGTCATCCCTGGCCTGAGCCATGAGGAAGGTACACATACCATGCCAGGAACTAGGCACCTGAGCTGCTTAAAAGAAAAAGAAAAAAGCAAACTTGGATTTAGTTTCTGCTGATAGGTTTGATTGAATGAAAGCAAATTCTCATTTGGCGCAAGTGGCTAAAGATGCTTTAACAGTGTTCAAAGCTAGAGGTTGACTTACAGAGGTGGTACATTTCAGATTTAAAGGTAAAGGTAAAGGTACCCCTGCCCGTACGGGCCAGTCTTGACAGACTCTAGGGTTGTGTGCCCATCTCACTTAAGAGGCCAGGGGCCAGTGCTGTCCGGAGACACTTCCGGGTCACATGGCCAGCGTGACAAAGCTGCATCTGGCGAGCCAGCGCAGCACATGGAAACGCCATTTACCTTCCCGCCAGTAAGCCGTCCCTATTTATCTACTTGCACCTGGGGGTGCTTTCGAACTGCTGGGGGTGCTTTCGATCGGCAAGCCCTAGGCGCTGAGGCTTTTACCCACAGCGCCACCCGCGTCCCTACTACATTTCAGATTAGCAGCTGGGAAACTCCATGGCTCCATTCAAAAAGAAGAAAAAAGTCGGGGGGGGGGGAGTTCTAGCCTACAGTCTCTCTGAGAGGCCAGGTTTTTGTGTGAGCAGGAGCTTTCCTATAGAGAGGAAAATTCCACCATGTGAGCCCCAACCTGCCATCTGAAATCGTACAGCCCTGAAACAAATTGATCATTCCCATGAGATCTCAGCCATGGGGGTTTTGCACTGAGTTTCCTGTTTTTCTCGCTCGCTGTTCCTTCTGCATTTCCCTTCTGTTCCCTTTCTGATTTCTATTGTTTCTCTTCTTCTCCTCCTCATCTTGCTCAGGTACAGACAGTGAAACTCTGATGGCGAAGCCCCTACGAAACATCACTTGGACCTTCCTCAAGTTGAATACTAGCCTCCTGCCCCTCTTTTAAGATATAAATTAAGTGACTAACTCTCTCTTCACAGTTGTACTCCTTGCATAGAGCAGGTGGCCAAGGGGAATGGGAGGGACCTTGTCCATGAATGAGTGACACATCAATTTGTTCTTTTTCCTCTTAACTCCTCCCTGCCCTTCACTGAGCTACCCAATCCCTCCCTTTAGTGTTTTTTGGAGGGGTGCAGGAGTGGTCTCCCTCAGTTTTTGCCACCCCCTCTATTTCCTGCTCCAAGTTTGGCTGGTTCCGAAGTTTGTATTTAATCTACCCACCCACCTCAAGTGGCAACCAAGTAAGGAAACCTGTTGACCCGCTATTAGTTTCAAGCACTTGGAAAAATAACCTTTAGTCGCCTTTGCTCTCGGCCTGCCTGCCTGCCTGCCTGCCCTGGAAATGGGGTATGTATGAAAGGGTGGAAGGGATCAGGTGAGGTGTGGACAAACAAAACAGGCCCTACCTCTCTGCCCCAATCCAGTCAGCTCCCCATCTTATAAAATTTGATTTCGTGAAACTTGTAACTAGATGTTTACTGAGTTGAATAAAGAAATGGAACCTGTAAAGCGAGTGGAGTCGGCCTCTATCTCCCATCTTTGCATCTCTTGAGCTCTCAAGGGATACAGGGCCGCTTGTTGGCTTTGTGTGACACTATTCTTTGAACACCTGGCCTCAAAAGTCCGCATTTCCTCTTATGAATCAGTCAGTTTGACAAGCTGTGCGTATGGCTAGTTTTATTAAAAACCTTTACCCTTTCTTCCCAGTGCGTGCGACTATTTGCAAGATGGAATCCTTGACAGAACAAGAGTAGCACTAAATCCCCAGGCCCTGAAGTTGTAATCTTGATCAGAATGAAAATGGCCTGTTTTCCTTCTCCTTCAGACTGGCAGCTCTTGTGAGGAATACGTAATATTCTGCCTGGACATTGCTAAATGCTGGAGGGTTAAGTTATTTATAACTATTGCTTTAAAATGGATCTCTTAAAATACATCAAGTGTCCCACTGTCATATTCAGCATTATACCAATGAAACATGGAATTAGCTCTGGCAGATTAGGCAGGCAACCAAACATAGTCTACTGTGTTAATAAGTGCACTTAGCAAGCCTCAGACAGCATTGCCAATGGATCCTTCCAAGCAAGGGTCCAGTGTTCACAGCATGTCCATAGTTTGCCGTAGCACTTTTATGACTCTACAGAGAAGTAGGGCTTGCCTCTGTGTATTCATCTTACTTGCCCTGAGCTGCTGTAGGTAACTGAGCTGCAGATTTCAGAAGCTCATTAGATGGCAAAATGTCCATCTGAGACAAAGGTGAGTTCATATTTGGAGCTGAAACCTTTTGCTGAAGCCTTCAGTGTCACAGTTCAGAAAGCCATCTCATTTTGGGAAGGCAATTCTGCTTTGTTTCATACTTGATCTACCGCAGTTGGATGTCTTGAGTGAGGCCAAACCTCTTTATTGAGCAAGTGTGTGTCATTCAATTTTGAAACTTAAGTGGTCTGCATAAAATAATATAAAACATTCATTTAAAAATAGAAACTTTAGAACAGCAGACAATAAAACAATCAATATACAGTCAAACCTTGGATCCTGAACACCTCCGTTTTGGAATGTTTCTGCTCCCGAACACCTAAAATCCAGAAGTAAATGCCCTGGTTTTCAAATGTTTTTCGGAAGCCAAATGTCCGATGTGGCTTCCGCTTGAGTGCAGGAAGCTCCTGCAACCAATCGAAAGGGCTTCTGGAACAGATTACATTCGACAACCGAGGTTTGTCTGTATAGATTAAAAAACAAATGTCCACAACAAATTACAAGTCACTTTTCTGGAACGTCATTCACCACGGTCTCCACACGTGGGTGGTTGTTGCAAGCAAGGCTGGCTGAATCCAAGGTTTCTGTAGCTGGGGCAATGGCGTAGAAGCTGAATACTGCAACCAAGACCCAACCGTGAGAGTGTGGGAGTCTGAATCCAAAGGAGGCATTAGAGGAGATGCCCATAGAAAGGAAGGTTGGTGGGAGGGGAGAGTGTCTGCCTTGCCTGGTTGCCAGGCCTTGAGGGCTGATGTAATGGTAGACCCAGGCCCTGAAATCCTTCCCAAATGTTGTAGGATCTGAGATTTCATCTCCTGTGCCGAAGAGGAGCCAGCTGAGTTAAGGAAGCTACAGATGGTATTGACGCAGTGGCAGTAACCAGAGACAAAATCTTGACTGTCTTGCGGAATGGAAGCAGCAACTGCACCTGGAGAGGAGAGGAGAGGAAAGTTAGGAACAGGAGCTTCCCTGGCAGACAATAAGCAGCGGCCTGAGTGCTGGCGCTCAGCATCTTTTACATGGCCTTGCGGAAAGAAGGGCTCAGGAAAAATACTTCTCACCTTGCTTCTTCAGCCTGCACAGCTGCTGCACTGTCGTTTCCAGAATCTCCGCCTTCTCCAAACGTGATAAGGCTCTGGCGTTCTGTGGAGGATAAAACACAACAGCCCAAAACACACCATCTTTTTAAAAAGTCATATCTACCTTGAGCTTTGGGAAGGGTTCAAAAGTGAATTCGTTGCACACAGAACTTACTGTGCTGCATTCGTTCCCTGTTCTTGGCACAGAAATGGATCGGTTAAGCCCCAGCTGTGCAGCACAGCTTTCCATTTAAAAAGCAGGGGAAAGATATGTCCAAATTCTGCAACTTTACATAATCTTTATTATTTGCAACATTTAGAGAGGAAGCAAGGAGTTATGCTGAGTGCTTGGCTCTTGCATAACTGATTATTACTTGGCTATCTTCTTGTCTTCTGAAGATTTCAGAGGTAGCCCACACCCTTTCAAGCACCCACACAGCCCTGCCCTTTCCTGGAGGTTATGGCCTGTGAACTTTCTATGTTTCTAGTTTACACTAGTTTGTCTAACAGTAGTAGTAATAATATAATAATAATAATAAATTTTATTTATACCCCGGCCAGAGCTGGGCTCAGGGCAGCTAACATCAATAAAATTTCAGTAAAAACAGAAAAAAACAATTTAAAATACAGGTTAAAATGCAATTTAAAATGCAGCCTCATTTTAAAAGTCAAAACCATAAGGGGACAGAAACATAGGGGTCAGACTGAGTCCAAACCAAAGGCCAGGAGGAACAGCTCTGTCTTGCAGGCCCTGCAGAAAGATGTCAAGTCTCGCAGGGCCCTGGTCTCTTGTGACAGAGCGTTCCACCAAGTTGGGGCCAGTACTGAAAAGGCCCTGGCCCTAGTTGAGACCAACCTAACCACCTTGCGACTTGGGACCTCCAAAATGTTGTCATTTGTGGACCTTAAGGTCCTCCGCGGGGCATGCCAGGAGAGGCGGTCCCATAGGTACGTGGGTCCTAGGCCGCATAGAGCTTTAAAGGTCAAAAGCAGCACCTTAAACCTGACCCTGTACTCCACCGGTACAGGAGATTGATCAGAAATTCTTGCAAGGGATCACCCAAATTGTATTTAAAATGCTTTTGTTGCCACAGACGATTGCGGCTAAACTTTTGGATTGTGCAGAGGGGAGGGTGTTGCTCTTGCAAATACCAGCGCCTCTCAAATCTAAGAAACCGAGTTAAGTTTTGGCCACATGGGTAGGTTGTTTCTGAAAAGACTGAACTCTCCACTTACCTGTTGATCAGGGAAATGCTGAAGGAGCTTCCGCAGCTGCTCCAGGCTTGCATTAATGCGGGCCCTGCGGCGTTTTTCGATCAGTAGCTTGATGGACTGGCAGAAGCGAGTGGGGAGAAAAACGAAACTTATCAGAGAACTGAAAGGCAACAAATCTAGGGCATGCCCTGCGCTATGTGTTGCATTAACAACTTGAGACAATCCCTTAATTGAGAACGGAGACCATGAACTCCTGTGCCTAGCCACACCTATGTCCCCCACACCTGCCCGCCCCTGGTCCCTCAGAAACAGTACTTCGGTCTTGTCAGGATTCAACCCCCACCTCCCCCAAAGTTAAATTGTGGAGAATTCCCTCTATCTTAGGCCAAAGTGTGAGGAGAAGTTACTCCTCAGAGTCAGGGCTTTTTTTTCCAGCTGAACTTGCCAGAATTCAGTTCTGGCACCTCTCAAGTGGGCGCCATTGTCATTATTAGAGAACAAGGTGAGCCCTGGCACCTCTTTTTCTAGAAAAATCATCATCATAAACCTTCATTACGGTCCAGAGACCCAACAAATCGTTACAAAGCAATACACAATTCATAAAGCCTGTTGTTGTTTAGTCGTTTAGTTGTGTCCGACTCTTTGTGACTCCATGGACCAGAGCACGCCAGGCACTCCTATCTTCCACTGCCTCCCGCAGTTTGGTCAGACCCATGTTTGTAGCTTCGAGAACACTGTCCAACCATCTCGTCCTCTGTCGTCCCCTTCTCCTTGTGCCCTCCATCTTTCCCAACATCAGGGTCTTTTCCAGGGAGTCTTCTCTTTTCATGAGGTGGCCAAAGTATTGGAGTCTCAGCTTCACGATCTGTCCTTCCAGTGAGCACTCAGGGCTGATTTCCTTCAGAATGGACAGGTTTGATCTTCTTGCAGTCCATGGGACTCTCAAGAGTCTCCTCCAGCACCATAATTCAAAAGCATCCATTCTTTGGCGATCAGCCCTCTTTATGGTCCAGCTCTCACTTCCATACATCACTACTGGGAAAACCATAGCTTTAACTATACGGACCTTTGTCGGCAAGGTGATGCCTCTGCTTTTTAAGATGTTGTCTAGGTTTGTCATTGCTTTTCTCCCAAGAAGCAGGCGTCTTTTAATTTTGTGGCTGCTGTCACCATCTGCAGTGATCATGGAGCCCAAGAAAGTAAAATCTCTCACTGCCTCCATTTTTTCCCCTTCTATTTGCCAGGAGGTGATGGGACCAGTGGCCATGATCTTCGTTTTCTTGATTTTGAGCTTCATACAGCCTACCTCCAGGTTAAACAAGCATTTCGTTCAGAATATAGGGATCATTATTGCAACCACCGATAAAAACTTGGCCACTGCTAATGTTCTAGCATTTGTCCGGTCTTCCAATAGGAACCTGACATAGTGAGCCTCTGATTTTCCCGGAAAAGGTACCAGCAAGGGTAATATCAGTTCAGCCCTGGCTTGCTCGTATTTTGCACAGTTCAGCAAAATATGCTTTATGGAATCAATGTCTTGAGCACACGAGCAAAGTCTGTCCTGGTAGGGAATTCCTCTCAACCTGCCATCTAGAAAAATAGCACTGCTCACAGGGTCGGGGGGTGGGGTGAGCCAGGAGACGCATGGTAATATAAAGCTGCTGTGTTGACCTGCTGGGTAAATGTACCCTGAGCATATGATCTGCCCATTAATTTATTTTTGGTATTAAAAATGAGTTCACAGCCCAAGAAAGCTGTAAAGGTATTTCTGTATGCCACAACTGCTGCTCGAATTTTAATAGCCCAAAAGTGGAGAACAGAAGAATTAGCAACTGTGGAAGAATGGCAGATGAAGATGATGGACTTTATGGAGCTAGCTGAACTCACTGGGAGAATCTGCGACCAGAAAGAAGAGGAACATCAAGAAGATTGGAAGAAATTTAAAGACTATTTGAATAAAGATTGTAATATTAAAGACTAGAAGTTACTTGAAAGTACTAAATAGGCCTAGGTTTAAATTAGAACTTAATTAAATAAATGAGATATAGAATGTTAAGAAAAGTTAAGAAATTTGATTATAATTGGAATATTGTTTTTGAATAATGATATTGGAAAACTGCTACATTTAGTTCCAAGGAAATTCAGATGGAAGAGATTAGAGGAAGTCAAGTAATATGTTTATGAGGCTGGAAGTTTAATTAATTAATTAATTTTTATTGTTTATGTGTTTGTGGTTATATTTTTTGTTATTATTCATTTTATTTCTTTTTTTTTAATTGGTTTTATAGCATGTGCTGTTTTTGTAGGAAACTTAATAAATATTATTGGGGGAAAATAAAATAATAAAAATGAGTTCACAGTCCTTTCACACAACAGTTCAACAACCTAGTTTCCTCTTCCTTCCTTTCTTCCTTTCAACAACCTACATTGCTGAACCACCCAGAGAGGAGATCCTGATCCACCTTGCCTGACTTGCAAAACTGAAGAGGATTTGTAACCACTCTGTGCCACAGCTGCTTGTCTTTACTGTATAATTTTGAATTTTGGAGCCGGGGAAAACACACACGTGCAAATGCTCTGAACTGATGCCATTACCAGCACATAGACTTAATTGTACAGTGTGTCTTCAGAACACAATTCCAAGCCTGTTTACTCAGAAACAAATCCCCTGAAATTCAATGGGTCTGTCCCCCACCTCCCATATTGCTTGGAAAGCCTGTTGAATGGTTTGGATAAGACCCTTCCTTCCCTGGATCCCAAAATAATCTGTCATCTGTCCCTCACCACTCCAGATTATCCACCCAGCACACCAACAAAGCTAATCATTTCTCAGTAGCAATGTTAAAAGGTTTGGGGAGGAGGAGGGGAGTCTTCAAGACGGATGGCAACAACAGAGAAGCTATTTTCATATCGATCATTAATTTCTGCAAATGTGCAGAAATTGCTTGGCATTGGCTTTCCTCGCAGTGTCCAGATCCACACTTGGTGCAAGATGGCCGTGGTGGCTCACAGGTGAGGAAAAAGGACTCTACAGAGAGGTAGTGTGGTGTAGTGGTTAGATCGTTGGTCTAAAACCTGGGATACAGGGTCTCGAGTCCCCCACTCACACATAAAGGATAAAAATGGGGAGGAGTCCACAGGCACATACCTCCACATGTGGTGGGAGTGCCCCAAAATCCAACTATTCTGGACAACAGCCACACGAGAAATATATAAAATAACTAAGCAAGTATTAGACATCACCCCAGAATTGGCCCTACTAAACATCTTCCAAGACAACAATGCCCATTTACACCGCAAAGAACTCATAACCCACCTACTTTCAGCAGCCAGAAACACCATAACCAGACACTGGAGAGACCTGTCAGGAGTAAGCATGGACCAATGGTACCAAATAGTATGGGAAACAGCCCTACTAGAAAAACTAACCAATAAACTGAAACTGGCACGGGGTCAAACAGAAGAAGACGCCTTTACCCCGGTCTGGCTCCCCTTTATCACATACGCAGCCCAACAAGACAATGACAATAATCCACCAACAGCATACAAATCAATATGGCTAACCTGATCCAAAAACACCCACCCACCCCACTCACACATGAAAACAAAGACCACCACAGCCAACCACAAATGAACAACCACACCCGAAGCCAACCCCAACCTCTCTCACCACCAAAGGAACACAAGTGAACAGCACAAGCAACGCTGACACCAAACCCTACATACATTAAGCATAATAGAAACATCGCCACCCGGCCCCACCCCCAGCCATCTTCCCCCCCTCCACCCCCTTCCCCCCTCCCCCTAATGTCTCAACAAATGAAGCGGATTTGCAAAAATGTTACATGGAAAAAATACGAGAGAAATTACACTTACTTCTGTAAAACAAGAAAATCTTTAATAATAATAATAATAATAATAATAATAAAATTAAATCTGTCAAGATTTAAAAAAAAATGGGGAGGAGAACTAGGTGCATCATCTTGGAGGAGAAACGTAACATAGCACAGGTGCCATCCCATGTCCCTGAGTGAAAAGTCCTAGAAGTTCACCTGCAGTCAGTCCGCGGCTCAGGTGCAGCCCTGGTTGAATGCTACCTCTTTGGCGCACGATTCAGGGCAAAACGGGACTTTCCTCTGTTAGATGCTGCGAATGCAATCGATGAAACATCTCTGTTTCCTTACCTTGCGGTAGAGGCTGTTGGGATGCTTCGGTTTCCTTGCAGACCCTCCGCTTTTGCCCAGACCCTTTGACTCTGCCTGGCCCGCTGCCAGCTCCATGGCCCTGTCTTCTGGAGACTGCGCGAAGCAAGAACAAGGTTGGCTTTTCCGTTTCGTTTCTAATTGGCTCCATGCGCCGTTTTCATTCCTCTTAAGTAAAAGGGATTCACGCCTCCTCCTTCCAAGGTGTCAGCAGCTCCTCCTCTGGTCGGTGGAAAGGCTTCCACCTTCCTTAGCAGATGCTCCAGCCCCTCCCTCTCTTCTACACACACACACACACACACACACACCTCAAAACCCTACAAAAGGACTGCAAAACTTTGGCACCGGTTTGGAGTGAATCAGACAGTGTTGGATTTCTGGGTGTTAACTATGAACCCCGGTTTGATGTATCAATTCTCAGTTTGGGGAGCTGTGCAAAACAAGGGGTTCGTGCTACAAAACTTTGCCACTGGTTTGGAAGGGTCAGCAATTCTGGGGTTAATGCAGCTGTTTTGCTTCTATCCAGCTGAAGATGCTGGTACAACCTCCCCCCATCTGGCGCTCTCAGGTGTTTTGCACTATTCCCATCTGCCCCAGCCAGCACCTGAGGTCTTAAAAGTGCTTTGAGTGTGGAAGGCACCACCAGGGCCAGATTTAGGTTTGATGAGGCCCTAAGCTACTGAAGGTAACGGGGCCCTTTATATGTCCAGCTGTCCTTTGTCAGCAACAAATTGTCGCTGTTTTTTTGTGTTGAATATATGCTATATGATAATTTATGGCCCTAATAGGTATCTAAAGCCTTGTACCTACAAGACCGCCTCTCCTGGTATGCCCCACGGAGGACCTTAAGGTCCATAAACAGCAACACCCTAGAGGTTCCGGGCCCCAAGGAAGTTAGATTAGCCTCAATAAGAGCCAGGGCCTTCTCAACACTGGCTCCGGCCTGGTGGAACGCTCTGTCTCATGAGACCAGGGCCCTGCAGGATCTGATTTCTTTCCGTAGGGCCTGTAAGACAGAGTTGTTCCACCTGGCCTTTGGCTTGGAATCAGTTTGATTCCCTCCCCCTCTTTCTTTTTCCTTTCTCCTCCTGTGAAGAGGCTGGATCCTAATGTTTTAATGTTGTATCTTAATCTTTTAAATTGTGTTTTAATCAACTTGTTTTTATTATTGGTTGTTAGCCGCCCTGAGCCCGGTCTTGGCTGGGGAGGGCGGGGTGTAAATAAATTATTATTATTATTATTATTATTATTATTATTATTATTATTATTATTTATTTGCACATAACAAAGTATGTATTTTATCAAAGTAATTGTTGAACTGAAATACAATTAAGAAGTATATTAATAATGAAATACAATTAAGTAGTATATTTTTTGCAGGGGCAAGAGAGTGGGGCCCTAAGCTATACAGTGGTACCCCGCAAGACGAATGCCTCGCAAGACGGAAAACCCGCAAGACGAAAGGGTTTTCTGTTTTGGAGGCGCTTCGCAAGACGAATTTCCCTATGGGCTTGCTGGCGGTCGGGAGCAAAGACTTTCGCCCACAGCCGGCCTTCAGAAGAGGTCCTGGACCTCTTCTGAAGGCCGGCGGGGGGCAAAAGTCTTTGCTCCCCCCCGCCTGCCTTCCCGGGACAGCGGAGACTTCTCCGCTGCCCCGGGCGATCTTAAAATGCTGGCGGGCGGGAGCGAACGCTTCACTCCCGACCCCCAGCATTTTAAAATCTTTGGGCGAGTGTCTGCAAGCCTCGCGCACCCGGCAGGAGGTCCCGCCGGGTGCGCGAGGCTTGGGGCGGCAGTCTGTCACCCGAAGCACGGGGAGCCCTTCGGAGAGCTCCCCTTGCTTTGGGCGAGTGTCTGCAAGCCTCGCGCACCGGCAGGAGGTCCCGCCGGGTGCGCGAGGCTTGGGGCGGCAGCCTGTTGCCCGAAGCACGGGGAGCCCTCCGGAGGGCTTCCCCTGCTTCGGGCGGGGCGGGAGGTGGGAAGAAGGCTTTTTTTCCCACCGCCAGCCTTCAGAACAGCCTTCTGAAGGCTGGCAGTGGGAAAAAAGCCCTTGTTCCCCCCCCCCAGCCTTCAGAAGAGGTCGGGGGACAGACTGTCCCCGGACCTGGTCTGAAGGTGGTTTCCCTAGGAACGCATTAATTGATTTTCAATGCATTCCTATGGGAAACCCTGCATCGCAAGACGAAAAACTCGCAAGAAGAAAAAACTTGCGGAACGAATTAATTTCGTCTTGCGAGGCACCACTGTAGCTTGTTTAGCTACATCCAGTTGGGGAAACTGCTCTTCTGCTCTGGGCAGAAGAAAATAAGAGCCAGAAGGGTTTGGAGGGGGGGCATGCATTGGTGATGGGTGGCTGTTATGTGTGTGTCTCTCTTCAACAGTGGTACGTCTGTCTCATGAAAATTGTGGGTAGCGCTGTTGACCTATAAGAAATGGCTGCAACAGTCATAAAGTGTGTGTGTGTGTGTGTGTGTGTGTGTGTGTGTGTTGTACCGTTAATACGAATTAAAAAGAAACAAAAGCTTACAACAGACTTTTTATTAGGGACCAGGTTAATGTGCAAAGTAGTCCCAGCGCTATTGAACAGGATTACACTCTGACTTCGCACAAAATGTGTGTTTTTCTGTGAAGCTTGCGGTACCTCCTTAGGCCTCGTCCCTGTCTTGAAATGATGCTTAATATTTTACATGCAAATCTCTTGGCTGGTTTTAAAAGCGTAATTAGTGCTTTACGTGCTTCGTTGTGTTTGCATCCTTACAGCTGCTCTGTAAGGTGGGTCAATATTATTTCCTAGGCTGCAGATGGTTTGCTTAAGGGCAACCTAGTGAGCTCAGGGCAGATGTGAGATCTGAAGCCAGGATTTACTGATTGGTAGCTGGGTCACTTTTCACACTGAAACAAGGGATTGTTACATTTAAGGAACGTTCTTCAAAAATACATTTGGATACATTCAGAAAAGTATAGCATAGTACAGTATATTGAAGAAAAATACATTTCAGTAAAGATACATTCATGGAAAATTACATTTCAGTAAGGATACATTCAGATACATTCTTTAAGTCAAAGAAAAAGACACAGCAAGGATACATTCAGATCAAAATGAAACATGAGACTGCAAATATGATACATTCTCAATTGATATATTCTCCAAGGCACAGTTTTTTAAGGCAGTATTCTATACTTCTGATATTGGTAGGGTCATTTTCCTTTATTCCCCTCTTATGACAACACCAACCACAGCAGCTCCTGCACACAGCATGTGATTTCTCTCTTACTATCCTCTCCCCATCTTCTTTCCCTTTGGTACCTTGGTGCTGAATTTTAGATTATAAAATCTCTGGGATAAAGATGCAAAATGAGAAGACGTCTTATTGGCACCTATTGCAATGTTAAGTACATAATGCAATCCTTAGTGGTGTGGATAATAAGGCCCGCTTTCAATGTGCCTTATTAAATGCTAGACTTCAGCTTGCTGAGGAAAGTCTGACAAGAGAAACGGACCTGGTCGTCTGTCGCTCCTATTGAGCCGCATGTTTTTGACCCTGTTCTCGCAGTCTACCACTGTCATGCGCACGCAGGCTCTGAACGCTGCTGAGGGGGTTGTGGTGAAATACAACCAGAGACCTGTGAAATGTTAAACAGGAGCAGGCTGCCAACTCTTGCGCATAAAAGCTTCTGAGCAAGTAGGGCAGACAATCTGAGCAGCAAGAAGGTGGCATTTCATCCGCTGAGCCCTTAAAGGTCCAAAACTTTCCTCAGTTCTGAACATATTGTACTGCTGGTTCCGAGCTCAGAAATGATTATGTGCTTGTTGCACTCTCTCTCAGCTTCTTCTCTGAGCAATTTTGGATTGGTTCACTAGCCTATTTTGTGGTCAGCCCAGCAGCTGTTGTTATTTTAGATGGTTTGCTGAGGTGGATGTTGTGCTACAGAGAGCTACCCAACAATTTTTAAGTATCTAAAAGTGAATTAACCTATAGTGCTTCCACCTATGAGTCCCATACCTCCAACATTTCTCCAATGAAAATAGGGATGTCCAGGATGTGAGGGCGACCTGGCTGCGACATCTGTCACCCCATTGATCGCCAGGGTTGATTTGGCTGATCTGGCTGGCTAGGCGGGTGTCCCCTTCCTCCCTCACCGCTCCATGTGCGTCCCTCCCAAAGCTGTGCGCTCGGTGGAAGATGACAACCATCCCAGATAGAAGGAGTGTACCATTCTTCGGTCAAGGGTATACAATAGCTGTGCTCCCCTGCTAGAACCTCCAAACAAGCTCAAGAAAATAGGGATGTCCTATTCAATAACAACAATAATAATACTTAAATCCCACCCATCTGACTGGGTTATCTCAGCCACTCTGGGTGGCTTTCAACATATGTAAAAATACAATAAAACAATAAAAACCTTTAGATGTCTTCTAAAGGTTGTGTAGTAATCTCCTTGACTTGGGGGGGGGTCACATAACTCCATACCCTCCAACATTTCTTCGATGAAAATAGGCACATCACTGTGGGTTAAACCACAGAGCCTAGGACTTCCCGATATGAAGGTCGGCGGTTCAAACCCTGCGATGGGGTGAGCTCCTGTTGCTCGGTCTCTGCTCCTGCCAACCTAGCAGTTCGAAAGCATGTCAAAGTGCAAGTAGATAAATAGGTACCGCTCCAGCGGGAAGGTAAACGGCATTTCTGTGCGCTGCTCTGGTTCGCCAGAAGCGGCTTAGTCCTGCTGGCCACATGACCCGGAAGGTGTACACCGGCTCCCTCAGCCAATAAAGCGAGATGAGCGCCACAACCCCAGAGTCGCCGCGACTGGACCTAATGGTCAGGGGTCCCTTTACCTTTAAGGAAAAATGGGATCCCGGATCAAATCAGAAACCAGGACAGTTTCTGTAAATCTGGGGTTGTCCCTGGAAAATAGGGACACCTGGAAGGTCTGTTAATGAAGTTCAGTTGCCACAGTTTGAAGAAGACCTGGGGTTGGTGGGGGATGCCGCCCTTTACTGAACAGGGTGGGGGGCAGAGCTTTCTTTTGATCACATGAAGATGCAAATTCATTTCCATCTTCCAGCCAGGCCATTC